TAGTTCCAGCGGGTCCCCATCTCCGGGGAGGAGAAGTGCGGGGTGAGCCTCCCCCCCCACCCACCCACCCACCCACCAAGGCTGGGTCAGGGTCTTCATGGTGTCAACCCCCGCCTTGGGGTTGGTTTATTTTGGTGTCCCCCTGCCCAGGTGCCCTTCACGGACCTTCTGGATGCGGCCAAGAGCGTGGTGAAGGCGTTGTTCCTACGGGAGAAGTACATGGGGTTGTCGCTGCAGAGCTTCTGCAAAACCACCGCCCGGTACCTGCAGGAGCTCTCCGAGAAACCCCTGGAGACCCGCGGCTACGAGGAAGCGCCCGAGCCCCCCGTGGCTGCCGGTGAGCAGGGGGTGGTGGGGTCCTCATGCTGGGATGAGGTGCCGGAGGGGCTTTGGGGGAGCCGTCTGATGTCTCGGGTGTCTCCCGGCCGCAGATGCCCCTGTGCACCCCCCGTTTGCGGAGCAGCACCCCTACGAGACGTGGGACCCCCAGACCATGCCGGTAGATCTGGGCTTTGGGCTGAAGATGGTGGACGGCGTGGTGCACGTCTACACCAAGCAGGACCTCACCGACAAGTGAGTCATGGGGCCGGGGGTGGCGGGGGGGGCAGTCGCTCACTGGTGTGATGAGTTTGCTGGGGGGCTGCGGTGGGTGGCGCGGGGGACAAGGGGTGTCTGCTGGGCCCTGTCGTGACCCATGACCCACCTGTGTCCCCCCCAGGAGCACGGAGCTGGACCCCCTGACCTGCAGGAGTTCATTGCTGACATGAATTTCCTCATGGCTTTGCTCATCAATGGCTCTGCGCGGGCCCTGCCGTACCCTGACCTGCAGGAGTTCATTGCTGACATGAATTTCCTCATGGCTTTGATCATCAACGGGCCCATGTGAGGAGAAGGGTCCCACCATGGGGGTGTCCTGGGGGGGGTCCCACCATGGGGGTGTCTTGGGGGGGGACAGAACCTTGGGGACAGCACCAGAGGACATGGTGGTGGCTATGACATGTGGTATTGGTGCAGCTCCCACATCCGTGCATCCGTCCTTGCCCGTGGTCACCACGCACAGGGAGGGGGGTCCGAGAATCCAGAGCCGCGTCCCCTCATCCTGGTGGGCACCAGCCTTCCGGGGCTGGATGTTCTCCCTCCTCTCCCCCAAACTGACGCCCCCTCCCCACCTCGGGCAGCAAATCCTTCTGCTACCGCCGGCTGCAGTACCTGAGCTCCAAGTTCCAGATGCATGTGCTGCTCAACGAGATGAAGGAGCTGGCGGCCCAGAAGAAGGTGCCCCACCGCGACTTCTACAACATCCGCAAGGTACCCGCTGGCTCGTGCTGGGGGGTCCTGGCTTGACTGGGGAGCACCTGGAGGCTCTCAGGGCTGAGCATCACCTCCGGCCGCGCAGGTGGACACCCACATCCACGCCTCGTCCTGCATGAACCAGAAGCATCTCCTGCGCTTCATCAAGCGGGCCATGAAGAAGCACCTGGATGAAATCGTCCACGTGGAGAAGGGCAAGGAGCAGACGCTCAAGGAGGTCTTCGAGACGATGAACCTCACCGCCTACGACCTGAGCGTGGACACGCTGGACGTCCACGCGGTACGGGGCATACCCCCAAATCCTGGAGATGAGCGGGGCCCCCAGCCCATCTCTGGCCCGAGTGGGGGATCTTCTCCAGGGGTTGTCCCAGGGTGGGGTGGGGGATGCCGGTGGCTCTGGATAGGGATCTTGCGGTGGCTCTGGGGTGATGAGGGGTCTCAGCTCACATCTGCGTCCCTCTGCCAGGACCGCAACACCTTCCACCGCTTCGACAAGTTCAACGCCAAGTACAACCCCATCGGCGAGTCCATCCTGCGGGAGATCTTCATCAAGACAGACAACCGCGTCTCGGGGAAGTACTTCGCCCACATCATCAAGGTGAGCGGCCCTGATGGGTGACTCTCCACATCTCCCTCCCTCTGATGCCCACGGTGGCAATGCCACCCACGTCCCCCTTCCCGGTGGCCGAGGGGTGACACTTGCCCCTCCCCGGCAGGAGGTGATGTCCGACCTGGAGGAGAGCAAGTACCAAAACGCCGAGCTGCGGCTCTCCATCTACGGGCGCTCCCGGGACGAGTGGGACAAGCTGGCCCGCTGGGCCGTCAACCACCGTGTCCACTCCAACAACGTCCGCTGGCTCGTGCAGGTGCCTCGGCTCTTGTGAGTAATGGGGGGGCAGATACCCTCAGCTGGGGCCATGTCCTGGGTGGGAAGACCAAGGACACCCCACTGATGGCTGGGGTGGGGTGGGATGGGACACCCGTCTCTGAGGGGGGTCCGTCCTTCTGCAGTGATGTCTACCGGACAAAGAAGCAGTTGGCCAACTTCCAGGAGATGCTGGAGAACATCTTCCTGCCCCTCTACGAGGCCACCGTCCACCCCGCCCAACACCCGGAGCTGCACCTCTTCCTGGAGCACGTGAGCACCATGTCCTGCTCCTGGGGTGGGGCGGGGGACACTGGTGACACCCGCAACCCCCAGCCTGGACCCAGCTTGAGGGCTGGGGCAGATCTCCTGGTGGAGGGGTGACCATCCCACCTCGGGGTTGTCTCTCCCGCAGGTGGAGACACTGGTGACACCCGCAACCCCCAGCCTGGACCCAGCTTCAGGGCTGGGGCAGATCTCCTGGTGGAGGGGTGACCATCCCACCTCGGGGTTCTCTCTCCTGGCTTCGACAGCGTGGATGATGAATCCAAACCAGAGCATCACATCTTCAACCTGGACAGCCCCTTGCCGGGCAACTGGGTGGAGGAAGACAACCCACCCTACTCCTACTACCTGTACTACATGTACGCCAACATGACGGTGCTCAACCACCTCCGACGGTAAGGACACCTCGGGGTCCCCGGCACCTCCGCCCGTCCTGGGGGCGTCTCGAGGGGGGGTCAGATGATGATGGTCGGCCCCACGTTGCAGGAAGCGAGGCTTCCACACCTTCGTCCTGCGCCCGCACTGCGGCGAGGCCGGCCCCATCCATCACCTCGTCTCGGGCTTCATGGTCTCGGAGAACATCTCCCATGGCTTGCTGCTCCGCAAGGTGAGCGGGGATGGGGGTGCCCGCGGGGGCTGGGTGTGGGGCCGG